ACTAACATGTCAATTCAATTTATGGCTTAGGCTACAGATGTCAGATTATGACTAAACAGAGTATCGTGAAGAAAGCAGACATTTTAAGCTTACTTTAATTCTCAGACGTCTCCTTAGATATGCCATGCCATAGAGCTCGGGGTAGGTCTTTAGAGTTTTATGAAGGTAACAAAACAATGATTGTGCAAATCATTTAAACTTGGAGAGTATTAAATCAGAGTAAAATAAGGATGTTTTTGAAATTTATGTCTGGTATCTAACCTATAAATTCTTCTAGGCTTTAATTGCATTTTCCTTCAATCTGAAGGATTCTGTAAGCCTCTTATGTTAATTATAAACAGACTGTTATTCATTATGCTAACCTAAATTTATTGTAAATGCTGCAATAAGGATAGCATATGATAATATCCACAATATATTGTATTGATATAAATATGAATGACTTTATAACCAACATGTGTTTCTGATGTGAAACCTACTTAAAGGTATAGTTTTATAGCTAATTGTTTCAAGCCACTATAAGGAAATGTCATTTTCAAATGTCAGTAGAAATCAAAAGGAAATCTGAGAACATGTAGGAGGAATAGCTAACATCTTCACTAAATTTAAAGTTTACATTTTACACATTGTATTTGCTTTATGTCATCCTTTTTACTGAATTCACTTCTCAGAGACTCCAAAAATTGCACTTAAAGAGTACACATAACAAGTATTGTGCTTTAATTTTTCAGTCTATCACAGTATTCTGAAACCAATAACTTTTTAACAAATTCAGTTTCTTTAACTGTATAATTTATATCTCAATGCTTTCCTGATTGTTTTCCTATTTTGGTATTCTCCAGCTGGTGGTTTTTTCAATTAAAATGCACACATTCCTTATTTTTCCATTATCTTGATTTAATTAAAATTGTTTGAAATATAATACATTTTTTTTAATCTGTAAGGGTTGAGGAAATTAATTTGTAACCAATTTTTCCCTCAGATTGCATGTATGAGTAATTAGTAGATGCAAAACACGTGGTAAGTAATATCTTTCCAAGATGAAGAGACAAAGTTAGGAAGAATTTATAAAAATTCTAGCATTCCTTTTGTCTCAGAATTGCTGACTTATAAGGGCCATCGGTGCAGCTATTGTAGTTAAAAAATGATATGAAATGACAAAATAATGTTTTTCTTTTCCTCCACTTACAATTCTGATATGGAAAATATAAACTTGGATTTTTTTTCGTTATAAAACATACGTAGACTCTGTGTGTGTGTGTGTGTGTGTGTGTGTATGTTTGTGTATGTGAAACCCTGTAACATAAAGGACAACCAACAACTTTACAAAACCGAAGAGTAGAGTACAGATAATAAGTTTTAGGCCAGCAAGGGAAGCCACAGCATGTTATAGAATATTAATCTTTTTATACTCAGAATAAACTCATATGCCATAGAGGATTATACTCTATTTTCCAAGAGTAAACAAATTAAACATATAACTCCACCATGTCTTTTCTTTTCCTTCACTGCACATCCCTCTGCTCTAGTGCAGAGTTAACACTTGATTATTCAGTCTAGTGAAGGGTAGCCTGAACATGAGTAATCCAAAGCAATATGTAATTCAGAATCAGTTTTAGTCGGCTATTGAATGCACTATGATTTGCCAGAGAATGGAGTGGGCATATTAGCTTCCCTGACACTTTTTAGTTTACTATTTATAACAACCTGGCTTTGTTGGAGAAGTAGCCACAGTTCTAGGAGACAGCATAAGATACTGACAGACCTAGAAGCTCTGGGATCGGAGTAGCTGGGTTCAAATCTTAGTTCTATGACTTAGTTCTATGACTTTTTTTTATTTATGAACTCCAGGCTATTTATTCCAGTCAAAGTCAATTGTTAGTGAACTTCTGGGCATTAGCTGTACACAAGGCAAAAATAGAAGATTTTAGATGGCTTTCTAAAAAGTTTTAAAGTAGCTTTAGGCTTCACAGACAAGTTACAAAAATGGTACAGAAAATTCTTGTAGGTCTTTCACCCAACTTCTAATGCTAACATCTTACAAAACCAAAGTTCAATGATCAAAACCAGTTTTGTTGAGTTTTTTGTCCTGTTCTGGCTGTGTGTTGAGAGTTGAAGTCAAGTGACCCTTACCTTTGCACAGGACAGACCAGATGGGTAAGGCGAGTCCCAGTAACATGTAGTGCCATCACATTAAAACAAATGACAGCAAAGGGACTGATCTCAAGGGAAAAATCACAGAGAAAAAAATGTGACAATGAGTGTGTATATGTCCATGTATGACTGAAGTATGACGGAGTTCGTAGACAAGTCATTTCACATCTCAGTCTATATAGCTTTAAAATCGTGATAATACTGAACTCATAACATTATTATGAATATTAAATGAAATATTACCTATAAAGTTCTAAGCTCTGTGCCTGGCAAATTTTAAGCACTCAGTAAATGCTAGTAATAATAGGAGCAATAATTATAGTAGTCGTGACTAGGGAGAGCAAATGTGGCATTAAAAATGGATGATTCACAATATAATAGAGCCACATGTACGAGCTGACTGTACTAGGGCAGTTTTGCACTCTATCCCTTTTCTTTTTAAAAAATTTTAAATGTTACTTTTTTATGTATTGATCTTGCCAGATTGCAAGGTATTTAAAGTGAAAATCTGTTTCTTAATCTGAACTCCATGGTAGAACAAAAATTCCGAGGATGCTTTGCTGGATAGAAATAAAGGAGCATACTGGTGTTGATGAAGGAAAGACAGTGCCAGCAATATGTTATTTCTTCCTAACAGCTTAGAGTAAATAGCACTTGGGAAATCTGGATATGTCAATTATAAGCAATTTGAAAATTCCTTCGAAAAATTTTTATTAATGAAGCTTTATTTTAAAATATTTTTCTAAAATGCATTTGCCTCTTTGGGATGTCAATATAAGACATGACCCCCCCCCCAAAACTCCTAGAAGGGAACATAGGCAAAACATTCTCTGACATAAATCATAATATTTTCTTAGATCAGTCTCCCAAGACAAAAGAAATTAAAACAAAAATAAACAAATGGGACCTAATGAAGCTTATAAGCTTCTGCACATCAAAGGAAACCATAAACAAAATGAAAAGACAACCTAAGGACTGTGAGGAAACATTTGCAAGTGATGCAATTGACAAGAGTTTAATTTCCAAAGTATACAAACAGCTCATACAACTCAATATCAAAAAACCAAACAGCCCAATCAAATCAAAAAATGGGCAGAAGACATCCAGATGATAAACAAGCTCATGAAAAGATGCTCCATATCACTAAGTATTAGAGAAATGCAAATAATGAAGTATCATCTCACACCTGTCAGAATGGCCATTATCAAAACGTCTACAAATGATAAATGCTAGAAAGGGTGTGGAGAAAAGGGAACCCTCCTACACTGTTGGTGGCAATGTAATTTGGTGCTGTCACTGTGGAAAACAGTATGGAGATTCCTTTAAAAACTAAAAACAGAGTTACCATATGATCCAACAATCCCACTCCTGGGCATACATCCAGAAAAGATGAAAACTCTAAATGTAGAAGATGGTATATTCATATAATAGAATATTATTCAGCAATAAAAAGAATTAAGTGTTGATATATGGATGAACTTTGAAAATATACTAAGATAAAGCAGCCAGCTACAAAAGACTACACATTGCATCATTCCACTGACATAAAATATCTAGGATCAACAAATCTATGGAGGCAGAAATCAGCCTACTGGTTATCAGGGGCTAGGATGAACAGGATTTTGGAGGACACGAGGAGTGTTACGGTCTGAATGTCTGTTGTCTTCCCAAAATCTAGATGTTAAAATTATAATGCCCAGTGTGATGGTGTTAGGAAGTGAGGCCTTTGAAAGATTATTGGGTCAAGAAGGCAACCCTCATGAGTGATATTAATGTCCTTTATACACTTCCTTTTTTGGTTTGTTTTAAACTTTTATTTTTCTTATTCTTTTTTTTTTCTTTAAAGCCCAGTATTTTGGGAAGGCTTATATTTACTTATTATTTTTTTTATAATGGAGGAACCAAGGATTGAACCCAGGACCTTGTGCTTGCTAAGTAAGTACCCTACCATTGAGCTATACCTTCCCCTGAGATTAATTCTTTTACAAAAGAGGCCTGAGATCTCCCTCATCCCTTCTGCTATGTAAGGACAAAGGGAGATGTTAGCAGTCTGCAGCTTGGAAGAGGACATTCACCAGAACCCGATCATGCTGGTACCCTGATTTCAGATATCTCAGTTTCCTGAACAGTGAGAAATAAATTCCTGTTGTTTATAAGCTACCCAATACATGGTATTTTGTTATAGTAGCCAGCATGGACTAAGACAGGGCATGACTGAAAATGGGTATGGAGTTTCTTTTGAGGGTAATAAAAATGTTCTAAAATTGTGGTGATGTTGGCACAATTCTGTGAGTATACAAAAATATTAAATTGTACACATAGAATGGGTGAATTATATGGTATGGGACTTAGATCTCAATAAAGCTGTCAATTTAAAAATACTTTATTCAATACTCATTCGATAACTATAAAAACAATAAAAAGGCAAGGGTTCCCAACTTTGAGTGCACATTGAAACTGCCCAATTACATCAAAATCTCTGAGAATGACACCTGAACATGAGTGTTTTTAAAGCTTCATAAGTGACTCCTATGCACAGCCAAGGTAAGGAAACACTGTAAATGGAAAGAGCTTTGTGTGGCATTAAACTAGCAAGTTGCTGATTTTCTTATTTGAACCTCAGTTTCTTTATTTGTAAAATGACCACAATGATAACTTCCCTTATTTACAATATATAAGGAATTTTTTAGACCACAAAAATTAACTTCCAAAAATCAAGTTTTATTTATTTATCTTTTGTATTGAAATACAATCTGTTTACAATGTTGTGTTAATTTTTGGTGTACAATATAGTGATTCAATTATACATATATATATTCCTTTTCATATTCTTTTTCATTATAGGCAAAAATATGGAACATTTCACAAATTTGTATGTCATCCTTGTGCAAGAGCCATGCTAATCTTCTCTGTATTGTTCCAATTTTAGTATATGTGCTGCCGATTTGAGCACAAAAATCGAGTTTTAAAGTCCAGTAAAATCTAAGTGTAGCATCTAGATGTTGGTGTGTAAGACTGATCATTGTTTAATTCTTTCAACTTTACTGTATGTTTGAAATTTTTTTATAATAAAAATGTTAAGGGATCAAAGAACCCGATTATGTTTCAGGAACTATTATAGGTGATGAAATGCAGTGGTGAAAAAAGTTGACAAACTTCTCGCTCTCATAGAGCTTGCATTCTAGCAGAGTAAACAAAAACCTTAATATTTGTCAGGTTTGGTATGTGCTTTGAAAAAAAATTAAAAAATTAAGAGGACTGAATGTTATAGAGGAATTGTTTTCATATAGAACAATCTGGAAAAGATTGATAAAAATTAAATTTAAATAGAGATCCATTTTTTTCCAACTTTTTATTTTAGTTTTTCTTGGTTGTTTTTTTGAGGTGGGTAATTAGGTTTATTTATTTATTTTTAGAGGAGGATACAGAGATTGAACCCAGGACCTCGTATATGCTAAGCATATGCTCTACCACTTGAGCTATACCCTCCCTGAGATCCATATTTCTTAATGATCACTCTGGCTGCTATTTTGTAAAAAGACTAGAAGGTATACAAGGATAGAAATAAAGACACCAATTAATAGGCTATTGCAATAGTTCCTAAAAAGAAATGATAGTGAAAGTGTTAGAGGTGGTGAGATGTGATGAGTCTGGATTTTTTTTTTTTATTGAAGCACAGTGAGTTACAATGTGTCAATTTCTGGTGTACAGCACAATGTCCCAGTCATGCATACACATACTTATATTCATTGTCACATTCTTTTTCATTAAAGGTTACTATGAGATACTGACATAGTTCCCTGTGCTATACAGAAGAAACCTTTTTTAAAATCTATTTTTATGTATAATGGCTAAAGAGTCTGGATACTTGAAGGTTACATTTTCTGATGCTAATTCCTATATTTGTCCCTGTCTGTTACTTTTATTATTTCAGCTAGTTGAGATATTATTGAATCTTGAATTTGACTTTTATATTCATATTTGGTGATATGTAAATGTGGGCAGGGTGTTTTCTGACTACAGTAAAATAATTATATTGACTTTTTAAAATAATTTTTTATTTTGCTAAATTGAGCCACACTGTTATCTGAAATACAGGTAGAATAAAAAAGATACTTTTCCAAAATGTTCTATTTTCTAAGCATTTAACCTATCAGGATACTTTATGTTGAAGGAGATCAGCATGGGGTACACTACATTATTAAAAAGGAGGTCTAGGTCATAAATGGATGTACAGAGGATAAAGAAACAAAGTGAGACTAATTATGAGAGAAATGCAAATCAAAACTCACTCCAGACAGAACTGCAATCTTTAAAAAGTCCACAAACGATAAATGTTGGAGAGACTGTGGAGAAAAGGGAACCCTCCTACACTAGTTGATGAGAATGTAGTTTGGTGCAGCCATTATGGAAAACATTATGGAGATTCCTTAAAAAGCTAAGAATAGAGCTACCATATAATCCAGCAATCCCACTCCTGGGCATATATACAGGGGAAACCTTAATTCAAAACACAGATGCACACCAATATTCATAGCAGCACTATTTACAATAGCCAGGATATGGAGGTAATTTCAATGTCCAACAACAGATGACTAGATAAAGAAGTTTTGGTATATTTATACAATGGAGTACTACTCAGTGATAAAAAATAATAAAATAATGCCATTTGCAGCAACATGGATGGGCCTAGAGATATTCTAAGTGAAGTAGACCAGTAAGAGAAAGAAAAATACCATATGATATCACTCATATGTGTAATTTAAAATGAAAAAGACACAAACAAACTTATTTATAAAATAGAAACAGACTCACAGACATGGAAAACAAACTTATGGTTACCAGGGGTGAAAGAGAGTGGGAAAAGATAAATTGGGAGTTCATGATTTGCAAATATTAACTACTATATATAAAACAGATAAACAACAAGTTTATACTCTATAGTACAGGGACCTATATTTAATATCTCGTAGTAACCTATAATGAAAAAGAATATGAAAAGGAATTTATGTATGTTTATGTATGACTGAAGCATTATGCTGTACACCAGAAATTGACACAACATTGCAAGCTGACTATATGTCAATAAAAAATTAAGAAATGAATAAAGGAACAAATTGAGGTTTTATTTCAGAGGTGACTGGGCATTTGAATAACTGTGAAAACTGTCCTTAAATAGTTTGGTTAAGTATTGTGGCCAAATGTTGACAGAGCTTGAAAGACTAATACTGATGATTGTGAAAGAGGAGAAGAAATATAAAAACATTTGGTATTGGAGTATGGACACACTTTCTTAGAGAGTAGTTAGGCATGCAAAAATACCTATGTGTATGCCAAGGAAAAGTAGCTTATGAATTATTTAACACAAAAATGGTAATAGTAATTATTTTTATTTAGTAAAGTAATCCTGAAATTTCTCAGATAAAAGAAAGTTGAGAGATAAAAGTAAGCAATCTTAAACTTCTTCAGTTTCATTAATATTTCATAACATTCAACACTGTACAATGTAGTCATTATGAAGCTAGACTGTGAAATAGATTTTCTGCTGATTTTCTTTGGGGAGTGGGTTTTAATGGAGTTTCTTTTGTTGGATACCCATGGTGAGGATGAAAGAAAGTTATCAGACAAAGCATCTCTACTTCATCTAATGGATAGCATATAGGTAGGATTTCCCTAGATATAATTTTAGAAAGGAGATATATATTTATTTTTATGGGATGTTACTATGAAAATACACTAATGACAAACATTGCTAATGTCATTTAAAGGAAATCGTTTCCAAATCACCTCATTAACAACTTTTTATCTCTTTTTTTTTCCTTTTAAGATTGCACTACAGCAATTTCTCTTCAGGGATATTGGAAATGTTATTTGTAACAAGATCAGAATCTTAGAATTTTTAATGAAAAGCATAATGATCTCAGAGGAACTCATTTAGAGATGCAGTGGGTTTATTTATTTATTTATTTAAATATGAAGTTGATTATGCAGTTTAAAAATTTATTTAAGATCTGGGTCGAAATGCTTCATTTATACCATTAATTTAACTTCCAGACCTGCATTGGAATTCCGGTTTGATCACTTACTGATACATAAACTTGGGAAAGATTTAGTGTTCTAAACCTGAGCTTCTTTATTTGATGTATAGGAATAGTAATTCTTTCTTATAAAGTAGTAGTTTATTTTAAAGACTATAGATCAAATAATACCCATATTTTCATGTTGACAAAGTATAAGCAGCATGGTATACTGAAAAGAATTTTATAACCAGAAATCTACATTAGAATGCTGGCCACTCACCAAATGGATGATGCTTGGTGACTTTTTCAACTTTCTAAGTTTTGGTATCCTCATGTATAAAGTGAACGTTTAACACTTACCACAAATGTTAACAAGGTTAAATGTGTAAATATATGAAAAATGCTTTGCACAATGCCTAGAATATAGAATTTGCTCATTAAAAGATAATTTTCAAACTCCAGTAGCTAATTTAGAAGACAATAGAGATAATTTGGTCCATCCATTCAAATGTGAATATTAAGTAGCTGGATATTTAATGTCAAAAAAATTGGATGTAAGAGAAAATAAAAGAGCAAGTAAATGATAAGAAAATAGGGAGACTTAGAGTTGGGAAAAGACTTATCATTTAAGGCTGAAATCAAATTCATTGAAGAATCATCTTCTTAGGTGGGAAAAAAAGATGATGAAATGTATGCGACTATCGCCTAATGAATTTCAAAGTTTGGGGAAGTGAAGAACTGTCAGGAGCTAGGACATGGACTAACACTCATAAGTAAGAGGCAAAAGGCAAATAGTGCCCTGTTGACCATACAGAGCCAGTTTGCCCTATTACCCCCTTTTAGTTCAGTTGTAGCAACAACAACAACAACAACAACAAATCCTTGCTAATAGAAAGCATGTTTTATGAACACATAGGAGTCATCTGTTCTCTGAATATCCCAGTACCCCATGCTCAGCTGATCTTTGTTATCTTTGTTGTCAAAAGGCAACAGGAGAATATGTCTTAGAAATGCATTTCCACAATTTCAACAACCTTCCCATTTATGGCTGGTGCCTTGTTTTTAAACACTAACAGGCATACAATAATGCTGTGTTCATCAAAACACTTGGGATTTCAAAATTGTAGAATAGATAAACAAGATTACACTGTATAGCACAGGGAAATATACACAAAATGTTATGATAACTCACAGAGAAAAAAATGTGACAATGAGTGTGTATATGTCCATGAATGACTGAAAAATTGTGCTGAACACTGGAATTTGACACATTGTAAAATGATTATAAATCAATAAAAATGTTTAAAAAAAACACAAAAAAGCACTTGGAATCTAATCTTGCATTGTGAGATGATCCAAAACTTATCAGCAAGTATTCACTTTGGGGTTGCTTTGGGCATAAATTGTAGTAGAAGATGAAGTTCCTGCCCTCTAAGGATTTCTTTTTTTATATATAGGAAGGAAATTGTGCTAAGTACTGTAATAGAAAACCTTAAAGTATGAAATAAATAAATGCAAATTCTAAGAAAGATTTCATGATGGAAGAAAACTTTGCTTTAGGCTTCAAAGGACTTATACAATTGAAAATTAACCAAGATAAAAGGACATAGATTTTCCACTTTTCTTTCAAAATAGCAATTTTGTGTAACATTGTGATATTTTCTTTCTCTTAATCTTCTTCTTTCACCTTTAAGCTACTGACTAACTTTAGCACACATTTACCCTGGATAGCTGTAGCCTTGGATCTGAATTTCCACCAGCTGTTTGGTGTTTTTTTTAATGGATTTCATTTTGAAAAGACATACTTCTTTAATGTTTTTTTCCCTATGGAATTGGTAAATGGATTAAAAATAAGAACATTTGAGAAGATTACTACTTGCATAGAAAGCAATACATGTTAAATAAAAATATTTCCAAAATCAAATTTAAGAAT